TAAGGCGACCCGGCTGATGGCACCACGCGACGGCCGATGTGACATGAGAGTATGGTTAGACGTGAACTTCGTGGTTGTACGAGGGCTGGGATGCTGTCAGGGCGCCCACATCTAGACAGGAGGACGTTTAGGGTCCTCGACCTAAGCCTTTGGCTCAAAAGCCTAGGCGCAAGGCAGCGGTGTTTGGCGTCACCATTTCCACGGAACAAGTCGCCACATGTTCCAACCCCCAACTTGGAGGACCAGGAGACTGTTTGTCAGACCTCTAACCATTGACCAACCTGGTATGAGAGACTCTATGAGTGTCACGGAGACAGTTCCAGTATGGCTCAGTGGATCGTTGAGGTGCGTATTGAATCTAATTTGACCTTATGATAATTCCCCCATTCATTTGCTTACTCCGCCTATGTACTTTTGATCTCCATTTGTTCTGCTATTTCGTACCCGCCACTCACCTTGCCGTAGAGGCCATCCTTTCCGATATTTGTGTGTCTGTGTGTGAATGCGCGCTGCTGACCCACTTACCCATGTGCGTTCATGTCCCGTTTGCTGAACCTGACTTGTTTTCTCATGGGATCCGCGTGATCGCACGTCCAATCGGGATCACGAGACCGTCGTCGGAAGGAACGACCGCAACCCACGCTACTGAGCCTTCATTCCGCTCGGCGTTGTTTGACGCTGCACTGTGCCGGTCAGTGACAGACTTGTGAACTTGTTGACGCTACGAACGTGAACAAGTGAGGTTTGTTGTACACATTTGCTTAGCCTTGTGTAAATAGTACCGTGGAATTACGAACCCAATTGTTCATTTTGATGTTCTTGTCGGTCGAACCTACGCGTCACCCAAAGTTCCGTATCGGGAACTTCAACAGTGCGCAAACCGTCACACCACGATGAGGCCCAGTCCGTGTCACCAAATAGTACCGTGGAATTACGAACCCAATTGTTCATTTTGATGTTCTGGATTGTCGAACCTACGCGTCACCCAAAGTTCCGTATCGGGAACTTCAACAGTGCGCAAACCGTCACACCACGATGAGGCCCAGTCTCCCCGTGTCACCGTGAGGTCGAAGGAGTCTTATGGGACACCTTTTGCGAAGAAACGCAAGACCTTTGCAATCTACTGATTGACACTGTCGAGAAGCCGGACATACATAAAAATCGGAATAAGCTGATACTTTACACTGTTTGTGGCATGCAATACCAGCATCGAAGAGGCCTAGGCCGGTTGCTTCTAAGACATACTCGGTTGCAACGCAGAGAAAGTAAAAACAGCTGAAAACGTGATAACCGATTCATATTGAATGGACTCGCGTAACGCAAAAGTGGTGCATTTATTGAACTGTGGTCACATCAAACTCATCTGAAACAGCCAGTCCTAAACTTTGCCTCCCTGCAAGCGGATACCTCAGATGATGTTCTCACCTTCAGACAGGTAATACTTTTCAAGCAGCACCTAGTCCCTAGATTAGACAGCAAAAAGTGATCATCCTGAACTCACGTAAAACTGGTTTCGCCTTTGAGGGGTTGATTTAAACAACGGCTATTTATCTGATGCTTTCTTTTTGTAAAACGAGACTGGCCTAGGCAAACTTGCTGCCGTTGTAAGAAGGATCCCGCTCAGACCAATCCCTCGGGCACTTCCAAGTGTAAACTGGAACAATGCCACAGAGAAAAAATGAAGTTCATCCAGGTATAAACAACGAAGCTGTGATTAAATGTCACTTATCCTAGCCTGACCGAATATTCTCCGCTTGGATTTTTCACCTCTGTATTTAGATTACAGGACATTTTGCGTAATGAAACCCACTTTCCCTGGATTGACCCCGGGGGAGTCCAGATGCCGACTGCAGTTTTGAAGACAAAGGTTTAAACTCCAAATGAGTGCCTTCAAATTAGTTGCAGTCAGACGTTCGGAGAATTGATGCACATGAAAGAAACGTCCAGCTGTAGCACCCTTTCGGTGTCTAGGTGCCATGTCACACGAAGGAGGCACGAGGGCTGGGATACTGCCAGGTCGCCCAAGCCTAGACAGGGGAAGTCGAGAGGCAGAGGTCGGGTTCGAACCACGGACCGGTCAGCAAATTCGCGCCCTAACCACTTGGTCCGCGGTGCACATGACCATTGTGAAACAAAATAGTAAAACGAATTCTGACACCTGATATTTCGAATGATCTGAGTTCCCATACGGAAAGCTTGACCGACAGGTCACCTGGCTAGTCAAACTCTAATTAACCGCTGTTTGACAATGGGCATCGTGAATGCCCACATTCAAATTCAGGTAATTGGAAAGGAATTTTTAGGACCGATTGAGAGGTCATCATTTCAGAAGGGCTTGGGTACAGTTGGTGGGTTTTAATCGGGTAAAGCTTCGCTTTTGGCACGAAGGTTTCATCAGACCAAGTGAGCAGGTCACCAAATTGGCCAGGTTATAAGGCAGACGGGGAACCGATGAGTAAGTCAGTCCTCTTCAGATTATCACATCAGATCTGTGTCAATTAACGGTGCTTGTCGGCTAGTGTGGTTGTCAAAATCTTGCCTTGTTGGACTGGGGGGATTTCAAATTAATTCTGATCGGGTATGGTTCCTTAATCTTTCACTTCATGGTGCTTTAATTGATGATTCACCTCGGTTGTCACTGATAGACTTTCCTTGGCCTTTGTGGGATTGTGAGTGCTTTGACAATTTAGTTTGAGGCGGAGGGATGAGGTCAAGTGGAGTTCACATTATGCCTGCTCTTCTTAGAGGAAACTACTCACAAGTTTGCTGAAAACTCTTCGACAGCAACCTTGTGAGTAGTTTCCTTTATGAAAATATACTGCGATATCTCGAATATCGTGCCAACTGAATCATGAGGCGGCCTGTGTGCAGCACATTCAGTTGTAAAATATCACAAACGAGAGATTTAGTTGAAGCTCTCGTGAAAACCAAATTGATTTGCAAATGAGAGTAAATTCTGGATGACCGCTCTTCCGATGACCGCACACCAACACGTGTTAACTCGACTGATCCAAGACTGTTCTCCATACGTTTGCCAGCTCTATGCGTTCTATTCTGTAAACATTGGTGTGCTCAGCGATTTCTACCGCCTCGACCAATAGTCTCTGTGACATGGACCGTAGTCCTACCCTCAAAACCTCAACGTTTTCTAAATCATTTTTGTGTCCCGTATCCAGTATATTCCGCAATCGCCGAGTCTTTCGGTAACCCTTTCCTGGATATTCATTGGCTGTTTCTCAAATCCAAGCAAGTGCTACAAAACGGCTCCACAAATTCAGCAATAGATCTCACTTTTCAAGAGGCGCAAAGCGGATTCACAAGAAAACATACTACTCGCATGCCTCCCCCATCAGTAGTATCACTTCTACACCGGTGGCGAAACTCAACAGGGAGTGGATCGGGACTGCTGTTATTCCATATAAACCATGGGCATCGGAGGTCATTCGAAGGGTTCTAAACACGGCCAACATACGCGTAGCTTTCCAGGAGGGAAACACTCTACGCTCTGCACTGGTGCTATTGAAGGATCGCCCCTCGCAAACAGAACCAGGGATTGTGTCTACAAAATCAATTGCACCAAGGTCTAAATAGGACAGACGGCCAGGGAACTTCACGTCAGAATGGGAGAGCATAGAAGGGAAATAAACAGGCCGCCGAGGAACGGGG